CTTTTGGAATTTTAAGACAGGATAATAACACATTTTAAATGGTCATGATGCTGAGGTAAACTCTGTCTGTTTCTCTCCTGATGGATATACTCTGGCATCTGGTAGTGATGATAACTCTATTTGTTTATGGGATGTTAAGACAGGATATTAAAAAAATAAATTAAATGGTCATAATGGATGTGTAAACTCAATCTGTTTCTCCCCCGATGGAAACACTTTAGCATCTGGTAGTAGGAATCATTCCATTTGTATCTGGGATGTTAAGACAGGATAATAAAAAAATAAATTAAATGGTCATAATGGATGTGTAAACTCAATCTGTTTCTCCCCCGATGGAAATACTCTAGCATCTGGTAGTGGTGATAAATCTATTCGTTTATGGAATGTTAAGACAGGATAATAAAAAAATAAATTAAATGGTCATGATAGAGGTGTAAACTCAATCTGTTTCTCCCCCGATGGAAATACTTTAGCATCTGCTAGCAATGATAAATCTGTTCGTTTATGGGATGTTAAGCCTGATAAGAGTGCCAAAGATATTTTAACTTAATTAAACACTTCACTATTTGCTAATAACACTTTTTTCGAAAGTACCATTATTTTAACTTATTTAGACAATACGAGTTTTACAATTTTCATAATCTCTAAGATTCCTCAATTTTAGGCATTTAATGCTTTTTTATACCAAGGAGAGTTTTTAAATCATCAAGGAAAGGATTTGAAACCCTTATTCAAATAGAGAGGAAGTATATTCTTGGAATATTACAAATATTAATAATATAAAAACGAATGAATATTATTAAAAAATAATTATTTAATTATTCTAAAAGGTTTTTACACTTTTTAAATTCTATTGATACACATTAATAAACTCCACCTATAATAATGCAGACTCTATCTTCTCTTCTAGAATGTGATAGCCCTATTGTCTTCTAGTAGTCTTGTTCTCCTGGTATAGCCTATACCTACCATAATCTTTTCTTTGGCCAAGATTTTTATACCTACCTTAATTGGTTTGGGTTTGCCCACTAGGTATGTCTCAGCAGTCACAGAATGTTGAAGGGTTTGGGTTTGTAAAGTCTACATGTAATTATATAATATATTACATTCCAAGTACGGTTTTGTTTATTTATCCTCATCCACTTTTTCCTCCATTAATATATTTTAATGCCTTTTTAGAATTCTATTTAAATTATTCAAATGATGTCTTACAGACTCCCACATCATTGTTCCTGCCATATCTAATCACTTTTTGCCTAAATGATCTCCATCATCCAAATCTGTTTTTCCTAATGAAGCATTCAATAATCTATGAACTATATATCCCAAAAAATCGGCTTTTCTATTTCTACTTTCAGTTGATCTCCAATATGTGGTAAGATGTTTTTATTTATTAATTTTTTAGTTTCCTAAATCAATTTGGTTTCGCCTTTATCTTCGTCTCCAAAATCTATCCTCAAACATCTCACAAGTATCATGGCTTAGTCATATTTTTTAATTTTCTTTAAGGAATTCTTTCTCCTTTGGAATTATTCTTACTATTTTTTTAAGACAGACTAAAAACTTTTCAGTCTTGAAGAGCTTGGTAGGAATGTGAAATTCATTAGAATTTTTAATGATGTTCGAATAACTTAATAAAATTTTAATTTTTCTTTGTTTTTCTGGATATTTTAAAATTTTATTCTAGATACTAAATCAAAAAGCTTTTGCATTTTGATTTATGCTAGAGAAAACAAAACTATAAATTTTAAATTAAATGCTTAAATAATTTTTACAAAATTTTCTCCTATATCAATAAAAGATGATATGTATAAAAGATGAATCAGAAGTATTTGCTCACATAATTATTTTAAAGGTAACTGATTAAATAATGTATGTAATTTATAAATTAACTCATTGATTATTCAACTCATTTTAATTTGTTTACCATACCCATCCTAATTTAGTCTATGTGTAATCATTTTAAACAATTTTAATTGATTCAACTACTGCCAAAATTTCATCCAACTCAAATATCTGGTATTTTAAAATCAATTAAACAATCACATATAATGAATTCTAAAAGTTAAGTTCAACCAATTATAAATCAATTAAGGTTTGTTGACTTTTGCTAAAGTTTACATGATCTTCTTTATTCATTTTTTTTTTTAGGAATATTCTATTTTTTTAATTTATTTAATGTTAAAAATAGATTCATCTTTAAAATTCTCTCAATAGAGATCAAAAATTTCAAGAAATAGAGACATTCATAAATTTCTTTTATTAAAATTTAATCACCAATAATATCATCTACAACTGATCGAGTTAAAAATTATCTATGAATTGCTATTTTTTATTTCTATCTTTTAATGATTTTAAACTTACTAAGTTATTCATTTTAAACAAAATATTTTAATTTTTTTTTATTTGAATATGCTTTTAATTTTATAAGTAATTTAATCATTAAGTTCTATGTATGATTTATATTTATTTATGTTTCTATTTATCTGAATAATAATTATATTGCTTTTATTAACTAATCCCAAGATCTCTTGCCTAGTGACTAAAAAGAATTTGTGGTAAAAATACTTATTATGAGTCATTAATGGAGATTTGATGCAAATAAAGTCTACTAAAAGTATTATAAAAATTTTGAGGATTAAATTTGTACTGCATAGATATATTTAATATGAGGAATATTAATATATACCAAATAAATGTAAATCAGATTTTATACTTTGTATTGATATTGCATGAGATAGCATGTATAAAAAATTAAAATAATAAATTATGTTATTGAAATGCAGATATGCTACTTTTAATTATACTAAATTTAAATAATTTAATAATTTTTTATCTTGTTGCGAGGAAGTGAATATATAAATACTTATGAAAATATTAAAGTTGAATTAGGTTGTGTTATTAAATCAATAAATAATCAAATATAAAATAATTGTATCGATAAATAAAGTTAAAAGGCACCTGAATTATGTAAAAAAATAAATAATAATTGTATAACTACATTAGATGGATATATAGAATAACTTGTGAATCTTCAAAAATATAAATATGTTATATAGATATGATAGATGGTCTAGATAAGATTATTAAGTATTTATTAATTCTAAATATTATTGGAATGGATCTAAAAGTGTTAATAAAACATATTCAAAGAATCTGAATATTAATTATATTCTAATTTTTGTATATTAAATGTAATAGCATAAGTTGGATTTTAGAAAAGAATATATGAAAATATTATAAATTTAATAATAAATGTTCACAATAAAAAATTTATTGATAGAACATGCAATATGGATATTATAAAAGTAAATGCGACTTAAAAATATTAAGCATTTAAACCAGATTGTATAATTTCAAATAATTCTTGAGGAAGTAGATATTTAACATAAAATTGTGTTGATAGAAAATTAAAATCTAATTTTTGATATGGTGATTCACATATTTGTATTAAGAATATTAATTGTACTAAATAATCATTTGAACTGTTAATATATGGATAAATTTATAATGTAAAGTTCAAATATGTATATATTTAATTGGATCTTCACATTAAGAATATTAATAATCAATATCTAATTTTACAATATGTTCAATTGATATTTATTGTATTTTTAATAGCACATTAATAGGCTGTACTTCTTTGGATTCATCTGATTATGATACATATGAAGAATTCAATTCACTTAATTCATTTTTTACTGTTGTTATAATAATGTTAATAAGAATGTGTAGAGAAATATTTATGCAAAAGTTACTATCAATTACCTTAATGTCATTCAAAATATCTAATTCTAGTAAATGTATTTGGATTAATGATTCATTTTTAAATGAAAAGCTATAATACATATGATATAATTATCTTAATTTTTATTTGTAAATTTAAAGTTCCCAGATATAGAATAAGGGATTGTAAATTTAACTGTTTTGATTGTCATAATAAATATAGTCGCAAATTTCTCTATTTAATGAATATTAAGATAATTTTCATATTTAATGAATATTATGATAATATTCATATTAATTTGAAAATGAATCCATAGAAAATATCATCTTCCCATTATTCCAAGTACCTTAAAAAATATAAATCAATTGATAAAAATCCTGGATTAAATTTTCCAAAACTTAAGTTATCCAAGTAGTATTAGGGGTATACAACTAATAAAATTAGCAGTCCTATTAAGTACATTTGAATCATAAATGAGCTAGTATTTTAATAAAAGGGGAAATATTTTTAAGTTGCTTCAAAGGCTTCTTGAAAAATCTAATTCAAAAATAAATATTTACTTGATATAATCCAAAAAGAGCTGATAAACATATTTCCAATAAAGTTATGCTGAAAAATAATTGAAATATTTATAATTACAATTTAATATCTCTATCTTGACTTAGATATCATTAATTAAAGAATATGAGATATAATGCACAAAAGTTTTCTATAATCGACGTCTTTTCTTGAAGAAAACAAAAAATGTAAAAGATTTAGTTTTATAAAATTCTTTGCTCTTATTATTTTTTTAAAAAGGAGGCATTGATCAAATTGATATATTTTTGTTAAATTATCTTTAAATTTCTATTTATTCTTTTATTATTGAAATCTAAATGCCTTCTCATTTTTTTGATAGTTTAGCTAAATATATCCCAAGAGTGGAGATACTATTGTGTTTTTTTTTAATTTTTTGAAAGTCTAACTAATACATTAAGAGCCTATTTTGAAAGAAGTTTATTTTATTTTTTCATTAGTTATTATATACCAAAAAGAATAAAATTATTACAACTTCAACATTGAATAAATCACTACCTCAACTTCATTCGTCTAATTTACATAAAGTTAATCTTATATATATTTTCTATATTAAAACAAATTCGATTAAATGAGTTTTATTGATTGATTTTTGCCTAAAAATTTATATATTTATAAATAATTAGATTTTATTTGAGGTAAATTTAAAAGATTTCTTATAAAAAATGCTTGAATTTATAAATGAACCTCATTTATAAAAACCTTAATAATCATATTTAATACATATTAATAAATTACTAGCATGCTAAAATAACTTTACTATCTTAACTGAAATCTTAAGAAAAACTATTTAAAATATCAACCAAACATAAAGTTGTCAATCTTTTTTCCTTGTGATTTTTCCTATATTGAATTAATTTTTATTAATATTTATCTTTATTTCTTTATTTCTTTATTGATATCTCACTTCTTCAACTAAATTATATCAACCCTTCTACTCATTAATTAATACTTTTTAATCAGATTATTGAGAGATAATAGTTTGAAAAATTAAAATTGTGAAAATGTGCTTTTTTTGAATGATAAAAGCTATTCATTCAACTTTAAAATTGTGTTATGTTTTGTTAACAAAATAATTCTAAAAACATTGATAAGACTTAATTTTTTATTCATCCAATTGTTTATTTTTAAATACAGTTTAAAAAATGATGGATCAAAAGATTAATTTTTAAATTGATTCGATTAGATATGTAAATCAAAATTAAAAATAATTAAATCTGCATAAAAAAGTGATGAAATTTGATCAATTTATAAATCATTAATTCCCAAATTGTTAAGTTTAATACAGTATTAGTTCATTAGAAGTGATTATTTTATAGTGCTTTTATTAGGATACTTTATCATCACACTTTTTTCTGATATTTTGGATATATTTTCTACAAAATTTAAATAGTTTAAATAAGAATCTATTATTTTATAATAATAATTAGAAGATGTATTTTCATGTAAAATTCAAATTTTTTTTTAATAATACAAGAGTATAAAATAAGATTTATGTTCTATAAATCTATTTTTACTATTTAATTATGTTTTTTATTCTATTGTTTTAGGCTGATTGATATGAAAAGATTTGAATTACAAATAAAAGAATTAAAAATATCAAAAATGTAGGATTCCTTAATAATTCTTTTAAACTAAGCTTAACCTAAAAGTATTAACAGTATATGATAGTTGAATTTATAATTTATGAATAGAATGGAATTTCATTTAGCTCTTAAAAATATTCTAATTCATATTTTTTCTTTCAAGTTAAACCAATCATATTAATTTAAGATCCTGAATTTTGAGGTTAATCATAATTCCTTTATAATTTTGTGAAAAGAATATAAGCATTCAATCTATAAAATTATTTTTTGAAGAAATTGATATTTTTTTTAGTTATAATTATAATATAATTCATTATTTAAAAAGCTTTTAATCACAAATTATTAATTAATTAAAAGGAACAAATTTAATCGTAAATTTATGAATAATTTAAATTAAATTAATTCAATAAATTTAATATGCAATCTCATTTTAGCGCTAATTTTACTAATAATGATTAGTTTTGCTTATGTAAGGGTTTGATTTATTTAGCAATGAATGAATTAGATTAATTTTCAAATTTTGGTGAAATTGAGGGTTAGATAAGTGTTTAAAATAAATTATGTAAAACATAGCTAAAAGTTGAATAAAGAAATGGAGAATTAAGGTATATCTTAGATGGAAGAATAATAAAAAGGTTTATAGTTAATAAATAATTAAAGTGAAAAGATATTTGAGCCAAAAATTGAAACCAATATAGATTAAATTTTACATCTATAGTGGATTGGTGAATCAAAAAATTAATAGAAATAAGATAGGTGGTATGCCTTATGGAAAGGAGAAAGATTAAATTCAGGAGGGAATTACAATTAAAATGGATTAAAAATAGGAATATGGATAGAACTATAGGAGAATTATTGGGAGTATAAACTTTATTTATAATTTAATAAGTTAAGCAGATATTTATCATATTGGAATTTATAAAAATGGAAGAAAATATGGAAAGTGGAAGACAGTTTACATGGATAGAATATTGTAAGATAAAAATGATATTTCTAGAGGTGAAGGAGATTATGATGAAAATGAATGTAAAGTAGGTATGTGGGTGGAAATAAATAAAAATTTCAATGAGTACATATTTATTCACATATTAAAGTTAATGCTAAATTATACAAAAAGGCTTGTATAATTAGGGATAAAAAATTGGCAGATGGGATACAAGATTTAGATCACATAAAGGTCATTTTGAAAATATGTATTTATATTATATAAATTAATTAGTGGAGGTGGTTATTATGATATGTAATCAAACAAATAAGGCTTATGGGTTGAAATTTCTGATAGCTTTATGAAGTTTAAATTATAATTACTTTTAGTGATTGTAAATTAACGTTAGCTGGTTTGTATAAAAATAATAGAAGAAATGGTTATTGGAATATCATTTATGAAAATAAGAGGATATCTAAATATTTATCTATGTAAATAATTCAATTATTTATATTATAGAGGTGGAGGAAATTATAATTGCAATGGAATGAAATAAGGAAAATGGATAGAAATATACAGCAATTTTAATAAGTTTATTAAATAATTCTAAATCTAATTTATAGAGATACTTAAATTTTTATTGAAGGAGAATATCAACAAGGAAAGAAATTAGGAATTTGGAAAATTTTTTAAATCTATGAATATTTATAGAATTTAAAAATTATGTAATTAAATTACTAACTATTAATAGTGGATTTGGAGCATATAGTGAAGAAGGGCATAAAGATGGAAAATGGATTGAAATATTTGAGAAATCTAATAAGTATGATAATTAGTATTACAGAATAAGGGATTGTTATGCGAATGATATCGGGAATTATAATAAAGGATAAAAAGTTGGGTTATGGGAAACATATAGTTTATTGAAGGATTAAGATAAGCTTTAAAAAATGTTTTATGAAATTAATATAATATTGTAGTGGTGGAGGGGTTTATAATGCTAATGGTAAAAAACATGGAGATTGGATAGAATTATATTTGCTATAAACTGATTATTGGAATGATTCTCTTTTAGTTTTGAATGGAAAATATTAAAATGGATTGAGAATTGAAAAATGGGATATAAAATGGCAAGAATATGATAATAATAATAAAAATTAGATTTAAATGTATAATATATAATTATAGAAGAGGTGGAGGAATTTATAATGAAAATGGAATCAAATGTGGTTAATGGATTGAATTAGATTAAAATTTTAACAGGTAATAATTAATTCTATAAATAGTAAATGTAAAGTTCTTCATCAAGGAAAATACGAATAGGGATTTAGAATTGGGAATTGGAAAATTAAATTTTGTTTCTTAAATACTAAAAATTATATAGAAATGTAATAAATGAATATAAATAAATAGAGCAGGAGGTTAATATAATGACTAAGGATTGTAAGAAGGAAAATGGAAAGAGTTACACAATAATTTTTATGAGTAACAAAATAATACATCAATTAAATAGTCATTTCCAATGTTACAATATAGGATAATATTAGAATAAACGAAAATGTGGAAAATGGAAAACCTTTTATTATGATGATAGTAAGTTGGGTAATGTCAATCTGTAATTCTAAATTATAAAAAATTAGTGGAGAAGGATAATATGATGAAAATGGAATGAAATAAGGAAAATGGACAATATTGCATAACAAATTTAATTAGTAATTATATAACTTATTCACTTTGAGAGGTAAATTAGGTTTTAATGGCTGGAAAATTTAAGGATGGAATTAAATTTGGATCTTGGAAATATTTAGCAAGAATGAGATATTATAGCCAAATTGAAAATATGTAAATTTTCAAATTTATTAAAAAGCGGAGAAGGAAAATACAGTGAGGATGGATTAATGAATGGAAATTGGATTGATTTGGATGATATGTATTTAGGGTATTTAATATTTTATTAATAATAAGTTTTTTGTCGTTATAATTTGTGGGATAATATAAAAATGGAAAAAAAGTTGGAAAATGGGATATCAAATTCCAAACAGAAAAAGATCTTTATCATTATTAATTGATGTAAGAAATTAAAATTTTTATTTAGAGGAGGAGGAGAATATGATAATAATGAAATCAGAATAGGAAAATGGACTGATTTAGTTGAGATATTTAAAAAGTTTAAATTAAATTAGATGATTTTATAGTGTCAAGGAAACTATTATTCAAGTTGGTTTTTATAAAAATGACGAAAAAGAAGGTTTTTGGGATATTATGAAAAGAGTTAACGATAACTAAAAATTTTAATTAATGTAATAAAAGGAATTATTAATTAGGGGCTAGGAAAATTTAAATAAGAAATATTTTTTGCATAAAATTTTATTATCTTAATAGTCTAAGTTAAAATTATGATATATCAATAAAATATATATTTAAATATGCAATTCTTTAATCGATGATTAAATCATTATTAACATTTATTGTTTATCTTCTAAATCCTAATAGAAAAGTTTTGGTCATTTAATTTTCTAAAGTCCAATTTCATTAAGATAAACCCTTTTTGCATAATTAGAATGGTTTGTTTTTGATTTTTTATCATTTTATTTTTAGTTGATATACTTATAATTTTTCATCTCAAATAACTTTTTAATTTGATGTATTTTACTATAAAATTTATAAATGATTTTCTCATATTTTGTTTAAATCTGTATTTAAATAACTTAAAGACTAATCTAATCTAATCTAGCCATTCTATTTTTTTTAAGGCTTAATATAATCTTAAATTAAACTTTTTGAGGAAGAATTGAAGTTAGAATTTCAAAATTAATTAATAATTTATCTAAAATAAAAACATTATATAAATTAATCGACTTTTTTGAATTTAGATTTCAAATTAACATTGAAATTTTAATATGAGATACTTATTTAAACCTTAAAACTCTTCTTATAGATTATAGAAATTCCATTAATCAAATGTTTTTTTATTTTAGATTAGAAATTTTGCAGATTCCTTTTAGTATATATTCTAAATAGAACTATTATAAATATAATGAAAATATAAATTAATCAAATGGATGATAATGAAAAAAATCTTATGATGCCTTCATATTTATTCACTCCAACAATAAAATTATCTTTCATTTTAAACAATTCATATATATCTCTAAATGGGATATTTAAATCGTAATTCAATTCAATATCAATTCCTTGGATCAAATCGAATAATTTAAAATAAATAATATTATTCTCATCGTAATCTCTTTAATAGCCAAAAAAATATATTGATTTTTAGTTCTGAAAAATATTACCATTTATTATTTATTTATTTATTACTCTTCGAATTTTCTTTCCACTAAATATATTTTTCAATGAGATGTCAATTAGACTTATTTCAATTATTTTAATTTGAATAAAGTTATTGTAAATAAAGATATCTTAATTCTTATCAATCAAATAAACATTTATATGTTATTTTACTATTTTATCATTTCTTAAATTTAAAAGATATTAATATTATTGAGTCATTACTAAACAATATTCTTTCAATATTATTTTATAATTTAAGATTGGCTAAAAGTAAACTAATTTAAAAAGTTAATCATACAAAACAAGCGTTTTTGTGTTTATTGAATATTTTTTTATGTATTTTTCTTTTTCAATTGTGTAAATATTATAATCTAAATCAACCGAAACTAGATAATCAGATTTAAACTCAAGAAAATTGGTTTTCTGTTTATTAATATCTATGATGGTGACTACTCTAAATTAAGTTAATAATATGAAATATTTGGAATCAAATGTAAAGGTTGCGTTAGTCATATTTACTTATTTTATTATTGATAAAGTCTCATTCAATGAGATATCAATAATTCTTAATTGTGATACTTTTTAATTATGAGATTTCTAAACTATTTTTTCTTTTTCAAAAATGGCTAAAAATCTCTAATTGGGTGATATTATAAAATTTTAAATATAAAATTCTTCCTTTCTATAACTTAATTCTCCTTATTTGAATTACACTTTGGATTTTAATTATTATTTTTCGTAAAGTTTTAATTCTTAAATTAGGGAAAAAGAGTTTTCTTTCTTTTTTAACATTTATAAATATAGTTTTTATAAATAAAATAAAAATTAAAAAAAGGTAAACAGGTGAAATAAAAATAACTAATTTATGCTTGAATTTGAATTATTACTTAATAAATATCCCTTTAAATAATGTTTTCAGTACAGAAAGATATTTATTATGTGTTGTAGGGATTAAAAAAATATTATTTTCAAAAAACTGATTATTTTTTGAATATATTAATAAAATAATCTTTTTCAGCATCTTAATATTTGTTAGATATTTTTAATAGGGTAAATTGTAGCAATTTAATTTAACTTAAATAACTATTTTAAATATTAAACAGTATTTTTAAACAAAAAGTGTTATTTTATCCTAAAATTTAATAAATGCAAAGCAATGTATTTGCAATACTCTCATAAATTTCATGAAAGAGAATATAGAAATAATAAATTTATATAATTGGATTCAAAATGTTGCATTCAAATCATATTTGTAATTCATAATATCACTTTAATATAAATAATATCAGATTTTAATTTTTTTCTAGAATTGATCAAATAGTTTGTCTTAATTCAATTATATGACCATAAGTTTGAATTTAAGTAAATTACAAATAAAATCCAAAATGAATATTGAATCATAAGCATAGAGATTGTTGAAATTAGGCTTGTTAAATAGGTTTAATGACTAAAATACCCAATCTATTTGAAATGCACAAGCTGAAAGAGTCAAAATTGAATACTCATCTGAGGCTTGATTAATTTGCTAATGTTTTGGATTTTAAACTCAAATTCATCTTGGCCAAAAGAATATGAGTATTTTTATTTGTTTATAGCAAATTTAATAGTTAACTCTACTCGAGAAATTATCAATTTGAGCTCTTCAATTTCTACTTGGTTAATCATCCTGTTTATGGATATAGGATAATAATTTGGCTATTTAGAAAATAATATTAATTTTTCAAAAATCATTAGTATTTCATAAAGAATTAATGCACGATATTTGTTTTCTATAGTAAGAGGTATCAATTAAAGAATATTCGGTACAACCTTTTTTGGGTGCGAATTTATTCATAAAATTTTTATTAAATCTGACTAATCAGTAAAATCATAACTTAATACATTTAAGTCCATTATTCATTTCTCTATAAGATACTACTAGAATTATAGCATAGGATGAACAGAATTTTATTTTGTAAATTCTTTATTTAGATATTTTATGTAGAATGTGGCTTCAAGCAATTTCCATCCATACTTATAATAATACTTATAGTCAAATTTATTCAATATAGTAAATATAATGGAATGTTAACTAGATTTATATAAAGTAAATAGCTAACGGATTATTTTTATTAGCCATTATTTCTTTTTAATATAATTGTAGTTCAGACCTATCAGACTATAAAGGTATTTTAGTGCTTATTAACAAATTTATCACACTTTTGAAAGTTAGATTACTAAATGAAAATGGTAATAGCTAAAAAATAATAGTAGAAATCTAAATTTCAAAAGCTAAATTACATATTTGAAAGTGATTGCTCTTAATTTAAGTTATATTATTTTATTTGCGAAACATAATTATTGCTTAACTTTATTCAGAAAGTTTTTAATTTCTTAAATTACAAACTAAAAATAGTAAAAATAGGAAATAAAATTTAATTAGCATAAAGATAAGATTTTCTTTATAGATATTATAATAAAAATAAGGATGTTAAAAACAAAGTTCATGATGCAAAGCAATTTATATATTACATTTTAGTTGCTTTTAATACTTTAACTAACCATTTCCTCCTTTTCTAATTATGAGGAGGCAATATTGTCTTCAAGTATTGAAATTACAGAGTAGACAATCAATTTTATTGACTCAGATGAGAAAGACACATATGGTATAGGATTTTGGAGTATGTGTATTCCTTTAAAAATTCCAAAAAAGAACAGTGATTTTGAAATACCATTCAATGATGCCCTTAAAGAAGATGGAGAATTGTTATTATTAATAACAGATTCTGATACAAATAACAATCTAGTTTTGGTTTATAAGATCTTAGATTATATTAATCTGTAGGTTGAACACATGATAAATTATATGAATGGCGATTCATATGAAAATTTCATATATAAGTTTGATGGTTTAAATTACGAAGGATAATGGATTTTTCATTTAATTATGATATAACCAATAAAAAGAATCATTATGATAGAAGTTAGTGGTCAAAATAAATATTCTCATAATATTAATACAAAACTCTAATAAAATTTAAAAATTATTTCAGGAGGAAGAGGATATGTAATAATTTGTATCTATCAAGATAAATGACTTGAACTTAAATTATTTTAAAGGATTGTTGTCCAAGTTGATATTTCTACCAAACTTCTTGTATGAAGAAAATTCTTTTGAAAATATCATGATTGATAATACAATCCCAGAAAAATATGAAACTGAGCAAAAAGTTTAAATTGTAAAAGGATTTCATATATTTAATGGCTAAAAGACTCTTTAAAATGTTATAGATTAATATGGAACAAAGTACTGCTTATCTGGATGGGTAAAATATAATTTTAATAATGATGATGAAGGGCGGTTTACTTTTCTGAGAATGACTAGCTTTTTAAATTTTGAGGAAAAGAAAAAATTAGGAGATGAATTATTTAGTATTAATGTATTTTACTCATAAATCAATCCTATTCAAACTTAAATTATTGTACATGCAGATGCCTATAGTATGCCTATTTAATTATCCTTCTAATCATAATATGATTTAACATTTTAAGGAATTTAGAATCCAAAATATTAAGTAGTAGAATCGACTAAGATATTTGAGAATGCAGATGATTTTCGATATTTAGAAGGATTATAAAAATGGCATTATGTTCAATATGAATATGGTAGAAGTAATATTGATGAAAGAATGCTACTTTAAATACAATTCTATAACTAATTGGGTTTTTTAAGAGAATAACTTGGAAATGACATATTTCGAGGTTCATTTTTAAATCACAGATTTAATTTATTTTTTGGAGGAGATATTTTGAATAGTAAATTTTTATAGATAGAAGTCTCTGATTTTCAATTTCAATTTAATTATATAGATGATAAATAATTATAATTAAGTAAAACTTTTTACTTATCTAGATTGTCATTTAACTTGTTATACTTGTAAAGGACCTTTTTAAAATAATTGCATTAGTTGTGATGATAAATTAAATAGATATTTATAAACAGAAATCTCTATGTGTAAATGTAAATAAGGATATTTTGATTTTGGTAAAGCAATATGCACTAATTAATTTTATTCATCAGTTTAATTAGAGGAAATTAAAATTTAGAACCTTAATATTTGCCCTCT